AATATTGCTATATTATTCCATCGGATAAACTCCGCAAATCTCCTAAATGCAAACAAGATTGTTGCGCCATAGTCGGAACATAGGGCGGAACTCTTGTACTTCGCAAATTTGAAAGTCCATGCGCATTAATGACTTCGAGGCGCGGCTTACTCACACGGAATCGTACAAGAAGGCCTGAGAGAAAAGTAAAAGAAAAGCCGAAACCGAACCGGTACAATATTCAGTGGCGCAAAGAAGTCATAGATATCCCTTTCACGTGCTCCGTAGGGAAGCCCACGCAGTCGGACAACTCCTTCACCATACGGAGCAGGCATCATCATGTTCATTCGAGATGTACCACGACCATAATCACCGTAATCGCGTTCACGGCGATCGCGGAAATTGCTTCTGCAAAAATGAATCAAGCTTCTTTGAAAAGTCAAACATCTTCAAGACAAAATATGAGTAATTGATGTCATACCTCTCACGATCACGACCAGAGCCTCCACGACCACTGCCTGAGCTATCTTGATCTGCAGGCATCACCTCGATGTAACTAAAAGGCACAGAATTAGTGCAACAATGGAAAGACTTCAGGAAAAGAGAGCTACATCCTTGGAGGGAAAGAGGATATATGATAAAATAGATACGTCATTTGCATAACAAAGTTGAGTAAGCTGGGTTATATGATCGAATTTATGGACAGATCAATGGAGTTCATTAAGATTAGCATTCTTGCTATATTCTGTTCAATCAAGTGAAGCTTTTAAAAATGATTATGTGGTGCTCATAATAAGTCCGTTCACATTCAAACAGAATAAGTTAGCATAGCCTCAATTGTAAGCAAATCTAAGAGTGCTTCCCAAACGTTCGATGTTGCGTAAGTCTCAAGTGGTAGAACTACGAAACTCTTAAGACCCAGAAGAAGGTGAAACATAAATCATAAGCGACTCACCGATGCCCCATGTGTTCTCTATCCTTTTTCAATGCTCTCTTGTAGTCATCCTCATTACTGTAATGCACAAAGGCGTCCCCAGCAGCTTTACCGTCGCGCATAATTATGTTCACTTTGCTGATCCCACTGTCTGCAATAGCTATGCAAAATTATTCAATTGCTTTTAAAAATTCTGCGATGACTTACCACCCAAAAACTTCCGGAGACTACTTTCATCACAAGAATAGGGTAGGCCCCTACATTTGATAACAAGATCCTTCACCATCCCCTGGAATCAAAATGGCTAGAGTCGGTAACTATCGGA